AATGACGTTGGTATTGTGCGATTCTAAATAATTTTTGTTTAGTAACGATTTTATTTTTGGGCCGGGTTTTCGTGAAAATTTGACGTTGACAGGAATATTGTGTTTACTGGCTAGTCTAGTCCAAGTGTGGATAATTCTTGAGCTGGTTTCAGGAACAAAAGGTAAACTGCAGTGTAATGTGCTGTTGTTGGATTTGTTAGTGTCAATTTTGTTCGTTGAAATATGATAAATATTTAACTACTTGATTTAAAGTTGAAGACTTGTCAGGAACTACAAAATTTCTTAAGAATTGAGATGCATGGTATCTGTGTTAATTTAACGGTTTAACTACTTGATTTAAAGTTGAAGACTTGTCAGGTATCTGTGTTCATTTAACAGTTTAACTACTTGATTTAAAGTTGAAGACTTGTCAGGAACTACAAAATTTCTTAAGAATTGCGATGCATGGTATCTGTGTTCATTTAACAGCTTAACTACTTGATTTTGTACACATCACATGTCAATTCATGCTGGGGCAAGCCTTGTTTTTTATAGTAGTTGTATAGTAATGTGAAACCCTCTATTCTTTAAATATCTGTATTTCTGTTTGAATAAATACCAATTGAAACATATTTTCCTAAAACAATCTGTTGGAAATTTTTGATCATTGTATACTAACTGATTTGACAGAGAAGATTGTAGTTTCATGTTACAGTCAGTCTAGGTGTAAACATAGTTGTTGGTGTGTTTAGCTGATAAAACAAAGGTTCAAGTTTCATGTTACAGTCAGTCTAGGTGCAGCCTAGTTGTTGGTGTGTTTAGCTGGTAAAACAAAGGTTGTAGTTTCATGTTACAGTCAGTCTAGGTGTAGCCTAGTTGTTGGTGTGTTTAGCTGATAAAACAAAGGTTATAGTTTCATGTTACAGTCAGTCTAGGTGTAGCCTAGTTGTTGGTGTGTTTAGCTGGTAAAACAAAGGTTGTAGTTTCATGTTACAGTCAGTCTAGGTGTAGCCTAGTTGTTGGTGTGTTTAGCTGGTAAAACAAAGGTTGTAGTTTCATGTTACAGTCAGTCTAGGTGTAGCCTAGTTGTTGGTGTGTTTAGCTGGTAAAACAAAGGTTGTAGTTTCATGTTACAGTCAGTCTAGGTGTAGCCTAGTTGTTGGTATGTTTAGCTGTAGATTGAAGAGTTCAGGGTTTGAGATATGATAGTGTTGAATGTGCTTTCAGCTGTTGCTGTATTATAAAAGTAACTGTCAATTCTATTATATATTTCCAAAATTTGGAAAAGCCTTTATTGGAAACATCTGCCAGACTGCCTTCTCTGTTATCAGTAACTCAATAATAGGTATTTTGTACCCAAATCATTTTACTGTGTGACTTGGCTGTTTAATCCGTATTGGAAAAAGACACCATTTGAGACAAAAAAATTTGTTCCAATTTCATGACATCCTCCTTTTAGTTATTCTGCACTTTGTGTCACATTGACTTGATTTGTCTTAAAGAAATGATTACCTTCTTCTGTATAAAATTATTTCCACGTATGGATCATGGTATTATTTTTTATTATATGCCATTGTGATAAAAAACTCGAACTGTGTATTGTAATTGTGTTGAAGTGCTTATCACATCATGTGTTGTCATTGTGATGAAGTAACTCAAACTGTGTATTGTAATTGTGTTGAAGTGCTTATCACATCATGTGTTGTCATTGTGATGAAGTAACTTGCTTTAATGTTACACCATGTGTTGTCATTGTGATGAAGTAACTTGCTTTAATGTTACACCATGTGTTGTCATTGTGAGGAAGTAACTTGCTTTAATGTTACACCATGTGTTGTCATTGTGATGAAGTAACTTGTTTTAATGTTACACCATGTGTTGTCATTGTGATGAAGTAACTTGTTTTAACACATGGTGTGATACTAAAGTTACTTCATCACAATGACAACACATGGTGTGACATTAAAGCAAGTTACTTCATCACAATGACAACAGATGGTGTGATATTAAAGTTACTTCATCACAATGACAACACATGGTGTAACATTAAAGCAAGTTACTTCATCACAATGACAACACATGGTGTAACATTGTGATATGCAAGTTACTTCATCACAATTACAACACATGGTATGATATTAAAACAAGTTACTTCATCACAATGACAACACATGGTGTGATATGCAAGTTACTTCATCACAATGGCAACACATGGTGTGACATTAAAGCAAGTTCCTTCATCACAATGGCAACACATGGTGTGACATTACAGCAAGTTACTTTATCACAATGACAACACACGGTGTAACATTAAAGCAAGTTACTTCATCACAATGACAACACATGGTGTAACATTAAAGCAAGTTACTTCATCACAATGACAACACATGGTGTGATATTAAAGTTACTTCATCACAATGACACCATGTGTTGTAATTGTGATGAAGTAACTTGTTTTAATGTCACACCATGTGTTGCCATTGTGATGAAGTAACTTGTTTTAATGTCACACCATGTGTTGCCATTGTGATGAAGTAACTTGCTTTAATATCACACCATGTGTTGCCATTGTGATAAAGTAACTTGCTTTAATATCACACCATGTGTTGCCATTGTGATAAAGTAACTTGCATATCACACCATGTGTTGCCATTGTGATAAAGTAACTTGAATATCACACCATGTGTTGTCATTGTGACAAAGTAACTTGCTTTAATATCACACCATGTGTTGCCATTGTGATAAAGTAACTTGCATATCACACCATGTGTTGGAACATAATTTCACACAAGGTAGTCTTGTTTTTAACAAACATTTCAACACAGCTTAAAACGTTCGCAAT